GGGGGGAGGATACAATTATGTGTAACTAGGGAGCAGAATTACAATGATCTGTAACTAGGGGGTGGGATTACAATAATCCGTAATAAATGACCAAGTTCCTGAACAAATAATATAACATGGATGTCTATCCATTGTTCAACAGTATCGTTTAATAAAAGATAAAGATAAGATTCTTTGTAAAATATAATTTCAGGGTAAATAGATTGTTTTGGTGGGCAAAATAGTATTTAAGGGTAAATCAATTCTATCAATTACAAATGTATCTAATGCATTCAGCTTGAAATACCAAAGGTAGCAGTTTTATTCAAAATTTTATTTATGTCTCCTTATTCATAAAATTAATTAATCCAACTTTCTATATATACATATATAAATATTTATGCATATTTGCTTGTAATACATTTTTGCACCTTTTTTTTGCATTGATTGAAATTTTCTTTTATTTAAACATGGTATTTTACCATCGTCAGTAACTCTTCATTTTCAGAGACTTTCTTGTTTATCCTTATTTCTAGTTTATGATGATGATGATGTATCTTCTGTTTTCGTGATAAAAAGATTAAATAATTTTCTGCTGATTTCTGAACCATCTTACATGGTTAATTTCGAAACTTATGGGTAAATTTTCACTCAAAATATATGCAAGCGTATATATATACGTAGCTTAGCTTGCTGTAATGATTCAAATTCAATTTTTGTCTAAATTTTTGTCCTTTGATTTTTCATTATCATGGTGTCGACAGTTAACCGTGTATTTTGATTTTTCATTATCATGGTGTCGACAGTTAACCGTGTATTTTGTAACTAACATGTTCAGTTAATAACAGTCCTAGCTTACATTCACAATCCTGAAAAAAAGTATCATGTTGGTTTCCAAAGTTGCTTACTGCTCACAAGACTTGTCCTTCTACACTGCCCTCGTGTTTAAAATGTCTCTAATTCTTATAAGTTCATAGTGTTTTTAATTTCTTGTTTTCATTTTATTAATGATGGTAAACAAGAAAGATCACATGGAACTTGTTACTGGTTACATAGGATATTATTATACATGTAGTTTTTGGTTTGTAAACATATACCCTAACAGCAAGTAATATTCAATAAGGTTGTTATAAAATTGTAAAATTGTAAAATGTTAATAATATGTTTAAGAGGAATTCATGTTGTGAAAAGGTCATTATAATTCATGGTTTTTCATAAATGCTCAATAACTCATTCACCCCTGAAGACACATTTGAACTCTTCCATTTCAAAGGTTGGAATAATTCATAATGAAACTTCAGGGGTGAATGAGTTAACAATGTTATGACAACCTTAAAGCTGTGGTCAGCTATAGCTGGTATGTCCAGCCATGATATGACCTCAGCTATTCTGACGACGTTAAACTGTCAGCTAGGGAATACTAATTATTATACATTAACCATATTTTCAATGGACAAAACACAGTTTTCTGTCATTTTGATATAAAAAATACAAACAAAAGCAGTAATAATATATAAATCTACCTACAAGTTCTGGGTCCTGTACCCATTTTATTTTGTTTCGACCGATAGCATTTCTGAAAATCCTGAAATTTAACAGCGAGACCATACAGACCAATACAAACTAATTGTAGATTGATCACTGCAAAAGAAAATTTCAAAAGTTTCTTAGGCATAATGAAATATTAAAGTTAACCATACATTGATAAAAAAGTGAAGCTATAAAAGAGCGAGACATTTGGTTCTATAAGTGACCATAGGCTTCCCAATGGTAAGTGAAGATTACCAGATTGTATAAATAAACGAGCATGATAAAAAAAAACCATTCAGAATACCCAGACTGGTACCAGATTTGAAAATAATTTCAATTCCCGTGTTCTAGATGGGTAATACAGTTTTACTTTAAAAGCCTATTTGTGTAGCCACTGAGCATGTAGTTCGTGTCGTGAGTAGAAGCACCCGTATATCTGTTTGTCTGGTAACTGTATATATACAATTTTAAGTTCAATCTTAGCTGTTTTTGTGGTAAAATTCTTTGCTTGTTCTGTACTCTTGCCCCTGTATATATATAGAGCTTGACTGCAAGGTTCTGAGGGGCCAGACTGAAGTCAGCTGTAGGATAAAGGCAAGGCGGAGATGTGTGCTCTGTTCAAACGCTATACTCAGTTGTCTGCCCTTGAGTGAGTTATCTGCCCTTTACACAAGTTTTCTTTTTCCTTTACAGCCCAGATCGAGGTGATCCCTTGTAAGGTCTGTGGTGACAAATCGTCAGGAGTTCACTATGGCGTAATCACATGTGAGGGTTGTAAGGTAAGTAAATTGGGGTCTACTATGGGGTCATCACATGTGAGGGTTGTAAGGGATGTTAATTGGGGCTCACTATGGGGTAATCACATGTGAGGGTTGTTAGGTAAGTAAATTGGGGCTCAGTATGGGGTCATCACAGGGTTGTAAGGTAAGTAAATTGGGGTCTACTATGGGGTCATCACATGTGAGGGTTGTAAGGTAAGTAAATTGGGGCTCACTATGGCGTAATCACATGTGAGGGTTGTAAGGTATGTTAATTGGGGCTCACTATGGGGTCATCACAGGGTTGTAAGGTAAGTAAATTGGGGCTCAGTATGGGGTCATCACAGGGTTGTAAGGTATGTTAAGTGGGGTCCACTATGGGGTTATCACATGTGAAGGTTTTAAGGTAAGTAAATTGGTATTCACTACAGGGTAATCACATGAGAATGTTGTTAGGTAAGTAAATTTGGGTTCACTATGGGGTAATCACATGAGATGGTTGTTAGGTAAGTAAATTTGGGTTCACTATGGGGTAATCACATGTGAGGGTTGTTAGGTAAGTAAATTGGGGTTCACGACGTGGTAATCACATGTGAAGGTTGTTAGGTAAGTAAATTTGGGTTCACTATGGGGTAATCACATGAGATGGTTGTTAGGTAAGTAAATTGGGGCTCACTATGGGGTAATCACATGAGAAGGATGTTAGGTAATATAAGTAGATTGGGGTTCACTATAGGGTAATCCCATGTGAAGGTTGTAAGGTAGGTAAATTGGGGTTCAGTACGGAGTAATCACATGTGAAGGTTGTGAGGTAGGTAAATTGGGGTTAAGTACGGGGTAATCACATGTGAGGGTTGTTAGGTAAGTAAATTGGGTCTCACTATGGGGTAATCACATGTGAAGGTTATAAGGTAGGTAAATTGGGGTTAAGTACGGGGTAATCACATGTGAGGGTTGTTAGGTAAGTAAATTTGGGTTCACTATGGGGTAATCACACGAGAAGGATGTTAGGTAATATAGGTAGATTGGGGTTCACTATAGGCTAATCCCATGTGAAGGTTGTAAGGTGGGTAAATTGGGGTTCACTACAGGGCAATCACATGTGAAGGTTTTGAGGTAGGAAAATTGGGGTTCACTACAGGGCAATCACATGTGAAGGTTGTTAGGTAAGTAAATTGGGGTTCACGACGTGGTAATCACATGTGAAGGTTGTTAGGTAAGTAAATTGGGTCTCACTATGGGGTAATCACACGAGAAGGATGTTAGGTAATATAAGTTGATTGGGGTTCACTATAGGGTAATCCCATGTGAAGGTTGTAAGGTAAGTAAATTGGGGTTCACTACAGGGGAATCACATGTGAAGGTTGTAAGGCAGGTAAATTGGGGTTCACTACAGGGTAATCATATGTGAAGGTTGTAAGGTAAGTAAATTGGGGCTCACTATGGGGTAATCACATGTGAAGGTTGTAAGGTAGGGAAGTTGGGGTTCACTACGGGGTAATCACATGTGAAGATTGTAAGGTTAGTAAATGAGTGTGATGAAGTATAATCGATCACATTGAAGCAGGTAAGAGAGAATACACAGCTCTTGTACATGTGAGGATGGGTTTAGGTATGTTTATCGAGGTTGTTTTTTTTACCCTTAAGAGAATGTTTTTGACCCACCAAACTCAGTTTTGACTCTTTCGTCTTAATAGCAGGTCTATTTAACATTGGTTTTGACTCTGCAAAAATAAATCTGAGTTCTGAAATTACTAAATGTCAAAGGTCAACTATAAGCCCTGCCTTGAAATATTAAGGAAATATTTAATTCACTTTGTATTTAATTTTGAAATATCAAGCTCAAAAATTTTCTTTATACTTGTCTGGGAATCTTGTATTGTAATAACCTGTTAACAGTAAATCTGGTGTTAGAACTAACAGTTGGTGAACAATTGTCTTTCCAGGGTTTTTTCCGACGAAGTCAGGCTGGTCCGGTGAACTACCAGTGCCCTCGGAATAAAAACTGTGTTATTGACCGAGTGAACAGGAACCGGTGTCAGTACTGCCGGCTACAGAAATGTATCGCCCTAGGGATGTCGAGGGATGGTAAGTAAAATTTTAATAGATGTAAAGGCATACATTTAGAAAGGGAAGACATATCACAGGACTTAGTGTTTAAAATCCAATATAAAATTATAAATGATCAAAAATCCAATATAAAACTATAAATGATCAAATACTGACTTAATATCTGTCAAGTTTGACCCAATCAAAACTACAGTAAAGCAAAGACAGAAAAAAAGCTTTAATTTGTCAAACACTTTTTTGACTACAAAAAACATGAGTATAATGTTATATTCTGTCCCAGGTTAGGTAGATGTTAGTGACCTCCCAGTGTTACAGTCAAGTGAGTGTAATGTTATAGGGCATTCTGTCGCGGGGGAGGTAGATGTTAGTGACCTCCCAGTTTTACAGACAAGTGAGTGAAATGTTATAGGGCATTCTGTCCCAGGTAAGGTAGATGTTAGTGACCTCCCAGTGTTACAGACAAGTGAGTGAAATGTTATAGGGCATTCTGTCCCAGGTAAGGTAGATGTTAATGACCTCCCAGTGTTACAGACAAGTGTGTATAATGTTATAGGGCATTCTGTCCCAGGTAAGGTAGATGTTAATGACCTCCCAGTGTTACAGACAAGTGTGTATAATGTTATAGGGCATTCTGTCCCAGGTTAGGTAGATGTTAGTGACCTCCCAGTGTTACAGACAAGTGAGTGTAATGTTATAGGGCATTCTGTCCCAGGTAGGGTAGATGTTAGTGACCTTCCAGTGTTACAGACAAGTGAGTATAATGTTATAGGGCATTCTGTCCCAGGTAAGGTAGATGTTAGTGACCTCCCAGTGTTACAGACAAGTGAGTGTAATGTTATAGGGCATTCTGTCCTAGGTAGGGTAGATGTTAGTGACCTCCCAGTGTTACAGAAAAGGTTGTTGGGTGACCGATAGCCTTGTCAGATAAGTGATCCTGATTAAAAATACAAAGATTATATAAAGTTACACCGATAAAATGCAAGTAATGTTTACACACGTTCGTGAAGGTCGAATCATGATCAGCAGAAATATGGAGTACAAATCCTGACGTATCTTTTATTGATATAATTTCTTGATTTGTTTTACGGGGATTATAAACAGCCTACGACTATGTATGATAACTTCCCATGTAAGGCCAAACAAAATTAATCACTTGGTTCTCAAGCCAATATTTTTCAAAAGAGATGCGGCAGGGAGGTTTTTTTTTTCTTCATTTTACACAGCAAAAATGAGACAAGGGCGATTTTTTTATTGTTTAGTTTATAAAACGTTCATTGTGGGCATTACCTTGTCTTTTTATAGTTGTGTAGAGACCCGTCATAGAGCAAGCCTCTGAAAATCCCCCCATGATGTTCCAGGGAAGAATCACGAAC